TTTTTCATTCTAAATCATCCTTCCATTTAAATCAGTTAAAAAAACTGTGTGTGTGCCTATATGTTTGAAATTTATGGATTAACTCTTTAGACACGTATTAGTTACTTTTACTTTGGGATTATTAAAAAATTAGTGAGAAGATGGTCTGACTTTTACTCTGCCAATAATTGGACTGTTGACTGTCACACCTATTCTGGTGTAAAAGAAAAATTGCACCAAACAAGTTAAACAAGAAAGACTTTTTCCAAAACTATTGCAGTAGGGGAGAGAGACTGAACTCAACTTTGTGGAAACAAAAGGTGGGAGGGTTTTTAAGCAGTGGAGTGAGTTAGTGGAAAATCACTGGAAAGCTTTAGATGAGAGATTAGTCAATGTATATAGATCATCTGAGTTTCAATTGTTTCTTGTTGAAGTTAAGCTCCTATCCTCCCGTAGAGACTGGGAGACAGGTGCTATCTCCTTCAATGATTACATTTCAAAGGAATGGCTTGGAGATTCTTAAGAAAGATATTCTTTGTTAAATATTTACATCCAAAGGGGCAAAGAATGAATTTATAATTGCAAGTTTTTTAACTTAAATGCTTTAAGAAACGGGAGGTCAGGAACCTGTAGTCAGAAAGAAAGTCAACTAAAGTTTTCTAAAGTTTAGTTAGGGTGAGTGTAACATTAAGATCTTGATCACTGGGAGTCCAATTCTGAGCTGTTTGGAAATAAGTGACTGTAGGAACTATTACCAGGAGCACACAAAGAAAAAGTAGTGTAACACATAACATTTTTTTTTAATAAAATGTGGTTCTTAAAGTAATTGAAATAACGTTACTGTGAATAGGACAACAAAGCAGTCTATGAGCATAAGCTCCCTGGAATTTCTTCTTTCAGTTGAGTTCAGAGTCAAAATTACTTGTCTAGAAAATCTGTTTTGAGTCCTTTGTAGGAACTATTGTCAAATTCTTCTGAGGTGCTGGCTCCACATGGCAAGCATAAATCTGTGTGAGATTTTCTTTCACTTTGCTAGCCATGTGGGTCATCAAGAGCACTTGATCCTTCTAGCACAGGATCAGCTCATCTTACCTCTGGAACACTTTCAGATAAATCGAATCTCCAGGTCAATAGGGTGGCAAATTTCTTTCCACAGGTCCTTCCAGGTCCTTATGATTTTGTGTCTCAGGGATTCTAAGGAAGAAATAAGTACCTTGGAGTATGAACATGATTAAGAGAGAATTCAGTTAAATTGGGCACAGGATATGATTTCTGACTGAAATTCATAGGTCTGGCAATCATTAGTTCCAAGGTAAAAATATCATGCTTGTTTGCAGAGGTCATTCTAATTTTTGACAATTAGTAACAGTAAAATTCTAGGCCATTTTAATCCAGTATATTGCTAAATCTCAGCAAATGAGTTCCATTCATCTTATAGGAATCTATAAATAATTGCATAATTACTAGGTGACAGTGAAAATATGATGACTTCCTCTCTCTGATTCATTATGCTTCTGTAGCCCCAAAGTGGAAATCATGGGTATTAAAAGATACTTTACCCAGCTTGAGCATTCACATTTAAAGATGGAAAGACTTCAGACCATACAAACATCATATACACTATAACTAGACAAAATATCTTACTTTTTGTAGACATTAATTCTGTGAAATCCAACTGCCATTTAGTTTCTGGGAAAGCTGGTTGGGGAAAACTGCCACATGTACCTTAAGAATAGACTGTAAATAATTATTCTGACATATAGCTCTTCTCTTTAATATTTTTGGAATAATTTTATTTTTATATAAGTACAGTAAAAGTCTAGGGTCTTTAAAGTCCCCATGTTACTTAGATGAGTATGTCAATGACACATTATTAATCAAATAAGAATTGTGGTATAGGGGTTACTTTATTAGGGAATTTTCATAGTTCAGTCAAATATTTTTAGCTTCCTTTATAATAGTTGCATTAAACAATTGTGTCATTCTGCTCTATGTGAGCTCTACAAATGATTACTGATCTGATAGGACAGTTGTACACTTCCTAAAAAAAAAAAAAATCAGCTATCAGTTTTCCATGAGATATTTTACTTCCCCTCAAAGACGAGAAGCTTCTATTTCTCCAAATTTGCTCACCTACGTGACGGACACCAAACATGTATTTCCTACCTACCTACCTACCTACCTTCCTACCTTCCTACCTAGCTATCAAGTATTGCAACTCTAGTAACTTGTATTAACTGCGCTGCTTGTGTCAGCTTAATCCTAGGCAAAGCTTCCAAAATGTCGTGTAAGAGGTCACCATAGCATACAAAAGCTTAAATTGGGCCATTTTTATCCCAAGTACATGTCTACCTGTAAATATTATTAAATTGGCATTATTACTAAAGACCACAGGCTCTTTGGCTCCCTATGTAATGGAAATTAACATGAGGCTCAGCAGATTTCCCAGACAAGGCATTTATTTCAGGGCTTGTGCTTAAACACAAAGGAGAGAGCAGAGTCACAGGGTCCTCCAACTGGCTCTCCAAAAAAAGCCAGTAAGGAATTTCTTTACTAGGTAACTCATGGCACTTGACATCAGGGGTAAGGTACACAGGCTGTTCTGTGCACAGCACATAACTGGTAGGGTACATGGGTCAGCGTATCTGATTGTGATGGTTATCTTGAGCAATGGGCCACATGGTGGTCTGGCCAGTGGCAACAGGACTGTAAATCGATAGTGCAGCATTCCTTCCCAAGGTGGGGAACTGCAAACTTGGTTTGATTTTGAATCTCCTAAGACCATTTTTCTGGAATTATTTAAACAAAAGGCATGGTTACCCATTATGAGAGCACAGAAGAAGAACATAGATCTCTATTTTCCTCGTATGACTATGAACAAGTATGGTATCAGTGAAGTAGTGGTATGGGTTTGTGATCAGGGGAATGCAAGAAAGGATGTTCTAGCAGAGGTGAGCTGAAGCCAGGCCCCATCCTTTCTCAGTCTCATTACAGACAAGAATATCAAATCAGTTGATCAGAACTTAGTGACTTCTCTTACCACTATAATACAATCATGGTCATCTGTTTGATCAGGATATGGTAAAAGAGTAACACAATTTAGGATATTGCATCTCCTAAGCACAATACTGGGATCAGTGCTTCTTATTAACTGGTCTGATGGCATACCCACACGTTCTGGATTTTTTGCACTTCCAAGATAGCTGTCACAGCATGGGGGACATGCATATAAGTGACTGGAGGTAAGGGTTTGAGCCTTTTTAAAAGTTTATCTGCTACTGCCACAGAATCTTGTCATCAACATTGTCACTGCCTCCAAGGAAACTGAGAAATTTGTTATTAATGGATCATGTAATCCCAACTTTTGAGTTAAAATTCCAAAAGTAACCCCTTTATTTTCCTAACAAAGCAAGTGGAAAGACTCTGCAAAATTTGGAACTCCCAAAGTTTATACTATAGCAAATTTTAATTTGAAAACTTCTTCAAATTCTACTGACCAAATCAAAGGATCTGAGGAATTATTATGCAGTTATTTCATTAGAGTTTTGGTCACTCTACCAAAGCTGAATTTCACTGTCCACAATATTCTACTAGTCCCAAAAATGTTTTAAATTGTTTTTTTGTAGAAGAGCATTTTATCTACAAAATGGCTGACACCTACATAAGCCTTTCAGCATCAACAGATGCTCCAAATATTTTATCTCAGTTTGGCAATTTTGAAATTTGTCTATTGAAGGCTTATGCCCTTTTGAAGGAGGAATTGTAACAAAGCCAAAAGTGTCAGTTTTGTATTGCTCTTTAGTTTCTGAGTCTACCAGCAAACCATCAACATGCTGATGACTTACAGATTCCCCTACTGGGACAAATTCCTCTAAGTTTTTCTGTAAATGATTAGAGAAATGATAGGAGAGTCAAGAAATCCTTGAGGAATACTTTTTCATAAATACTACGCACAGGGCATTTTGCTGCCATAGTCACTTCCAGGATAGGGTCAATCACACTGCCCTCTGCTGGTGTATTCATAGTAGAGCCACTATACAAGAGACTAAATACTCTCTTAGGTTTTTACAATGAAAGGAAACTTTATACTTTCCTGATGTAATTTTCCAGCAATCCTCATGGTTTTAGCAATAAAGGAGGCAAACGTTCAGTAATTTCTTCCTTTGGAAACCTGTCTTTCTATATGTAATTTAGAATCCCTTATCAATGTGGACATTTACTCTGCAGTGAATCCATTTTATCCTCTTTCCTATTCTGGATAGACTTCCCCCCAACCTAAGGTCTTATTTACTCATTTGCTTTCATCCTTCTTATGACCTTTGACTTCAGTTCAAATACGCAACTACAGCATCATTGATGACAGAAAAAAATATGAAGTAATTTCCCTTCTTATGGTTACAAAACTGTGCATTACTGAATGAGGGATTAGTAATGAATGGATACAGTTATGCTGCATCAGATTAGCAGCATATGTCTTTAAATAAAACTATTTACAGAAAAACATATGTGACATGGACAGCCTATAATGCAGGTGCTATATTTTAAGGCTTGTGTATTCGACATCAGTATTGCAAAGGGTTTGGTTATACTCTTGCTCACTTTATTGTTTTGCACAGAAATATTTTAACAATATTTCTCTAGAAGAAAGTTCTGTGAAACTGGGAATGTTTAAGATATATTTGGGGTGTTAAAAATACTTGAATATTTGTATAAATCCTCTTTTTCTTTTCAGTTCAAAAGGAAGTACTGTGTAGGACTCTCTGATGGTCTAAAATTGCATGACCTTGCCTCAGGAACATGGAAGATCGATCCTAGTTAAACACAGAATAATATTTTTATAATAACCTTTATCACTAAATTGTGTAGTTTGTCTCTTCTGTTACATCAATACATCCTCCTGTATGTTTATCTGACTTTTTTTTCTAGCAAAGAAAGTACTGAGAAACACATCTGTCTTATAATTTGTATGCAGAGGGTGTTTTAATAACCCATTTCTTCATTCTTTGTCCATCTCTTTTTAGGCTGACTGGAAGCTTTGTACCAGACTTGATAGTGAGCATGAGTAGCCAAATGTGGCTGCACCTTCAAACAGACGAAAGTGTTGGATCTGTTGGTTTCAAGGTTAACTACAAAGGTAATGATGAATTGCTACTATAGGAAATATGTTATCTTAATACCACCAGAGAATATTTTAAATTCACGTTTAATTGCATCTACAAAATTAAAAGTTTTGCAGAACACATGGAAGAACACATTTCAACAAAAATAATTTCCTCTTTAATTTAACTACAAATGTTAATTACACTTATCTTTAAATAAAATTAGTTTTTCCTTTAAAATGTGTCTATTTTGCATACCTCATCTTTCTCCCAGTTTATTATACTATCCTTGTGTTTCAATCACTCTAGACTCCTAGCCTTCCCCAGAATAGACATGGGATTTTATATACTTTAAATAATTTTCCTGGCAAAGATTCTACTAATTATTAAATACTTAAATATAACAGTAAAGGTCTGAAATCCCTAAATATTCCAATATACAAATCTTTTTTTTGTAATCTATCAAACATATAAATCATAGATCACAAATTTGTGAAATTGCTTTTGCCCATCCCAGTGTCGGTAGAGATACAGACCAGTGATTAACTATGTGTGTATAACAAAATATTTTGTTCTAGTTTCATTTACCAGAAATAGATGCAAGCATTATGAGGTCATAGATACCTTCCACACATGTTGGACCTTGATTAAAACCAATACATACACACAGTGTACATATTAGACATGCAAATTTGCAATTCTGACTGAAAAAAGTACTAATAAACTCAATTAAAAATCTATGTTTGAAAAACAAAATATATAGGAGACCATCAGAATGTTATGTTGCTTGAATTTATCATTACTATTGTGGTAAAATTTGTATTTTCTATCTTACCAATTAAATAATTACTGTGAAAAATTATTTTACTTGCATAATAATTTTCAATCAGAGTTTTCTCTTACAAACACTACCATGCTTTTGTTTCTGCACACATGAAAATGAGTGCATGATATTGTCAGAGAGGCAGAACACATTCATTCTGTGTTTTTTTTTCTTGTGACTAAATTTGGTACTATATTAATTTGAATAGTTCAAGAAATCTATGTAAATGTCAGTTTATTAAAAAGGTTAGCTTGATTATAGTCTTAATATATTCCTCCTCAATTTAAAATCCACCTCTATCCCCAGTAAATAAAACAAGGTTACAAAATTTAAAGAACAAGTGGCTTATGTCACACATGATTATCTGTCTTTTTTTTCTGGCAACTTGTATTTTACCTGCAGGTGGTCTATGTGCACATTTGTTACTAGGAAATATTGTGTAATGCTGATTTGGAGTACAGATCCACTCACCCAGTCATACTTCTTGAAATATATCTTTTTTCTTTTTCTTCCCCTTCTCCCTCTAAATGGCTAAGCAAACCTGGCATTCTTATATTCCTGTGGTTTCTATTATTTTCTCCATCTTATGAAGGTTACCTGTCAGAAAATCTATAGTGATTTAAACATTAGAAACTGTATTAATTATTAATGACAATGCTTGAACAAGAAACATTTATTAAAACTCGTGAATAGGTTGGAGCAGCAGGGAGTTCTATTGATATTTACACAGTTCTCCCCTCTGCTGCGATTCAAGAGCTGGAAGTACATTGTAGAGTAGCACAATTAAACATTATATTGTCCTCTTTCTGCTCAGCTTTCAACAATAGTAATTTAAAAATTCACAGAGATGACTTATTTGGAACCAACCCTGGACATTCTAAATGAGTAATGCCCTTATTTTTCTCCCTCCTTTTCCTTAGACTGGAAGTGTCTCTTCCAGTCCAACCGGCTGCACATTACTAATGATAATCTTCCAGCATCAGAGTGATGATCATATTACTCTCATGCTCAAAATTCTCTATTTTTTATCCCTAGAGATAAAATCAAAAATCTCCATACATCATTTCCTCCAGCTTTCTCCATCTGATTTTCTCTTTTTCCATAAACTCTAATTTTACCAGAATACCCATAAGTCTCTGAACCCTGCAAATTGTTTCACAACTTTGCTTCTTTGGACATTCAGTAAATTTACCTGAATCACTGTTTTTAATTTTAACTTAGCACCTCCTCACTCATCCTTCAAAGCAAAGTTCAAATATTCACTCTGCTGTGAAGACTTCGTTAACTCTGCCCATCACAGAAGACCACTTCCTCTATTTTGTAAACCATGAATCAGATGTATTATATAACTAAATAGAAAATATGTCTTACTTGTCTTTGTATTTATGCTAGCAATATCCCTGCCATCATCATAGGTAGCTAATAATTACTCGTTCAATTAAACTGAATAAGTGATTTGGCCTATATAAATTAGGTAATACTAAGGAAAATACGTCCTCAAAAGTTTAGTTTACCAGGATTTTTTTTTGTACTGTGAAAATCATGTTTTTGCATTCTCCATAATTTAAAACCTGAGCTCAGAGTTGAAGCAGGGTTCACGTTGAGAAGTTACAAATTTTGATGTGCACATAGTTTTAGCAAGTTCGCCTACTAAAAATAATTTTTATAATTACCATGCTCTCTGTTGAGTAGTGTGTTGGTTCTAAATGGTACACCTGCTAAAAACTTTTCCAGATTGATCTAAAGATATCTTCTGTTTTTGTAACCTGTAGATTTTGCATGAGATAGCATTAAATGCAGATCTCCTCTAAATTAAATATATGTATTTATTGAGTAGTTTGTCTCAAGTTTTTAACATTTTAAACATAGCAACTAAAATATGAAATTTAGTCTTTGTCTTTTGTGATATATTTTTATTCTTAAGTTGTGTTTTGCTAATTAAGAGAGTGTTTTTGAAACTATTTTAAAGAAAATATGATTTCAAATGACGTCTTCTGTTAGAAACTCATAATAGAGAAAAGATTAAAAGCTGGGCTTCACTGGTAGAACAAGGATGGGAAGAAGACTTGGTACCCTCAATTGATCTGATTGCTTCTCATTCCCTCCAAATGTAGGAAGAATTCTAGGACTCCAAAAAACGTACTTTGAAAATGACAGTTCTAAGACTATATTATTGACAGAGGAACAAAAATTTATGTATGAATGTAAAATAGTACATAATTACCTGATTAAGTAGTCATTAAGTTTAGAACTTCTGCTTTAAATCTGTGGAACTATGAATGCTTTTATCTATGGAGTTTGGACAATGTCTGTCTTAAAATATAAAAAGGCAACAAATGTTGCAAATCAACAAAACAGTCCTTTATTCTAAATTTAGTTAATTTTTATTCAACTAGGATTAATTTCATGTTTCTGTTCATGACAGTGTGCTGATTACTGTATACCGTAGCATAAGTTAATAAAATGCCACCGGACTCTTGAGAAGTTAATGGTATTCCTAACTTTTAAAATCAGTAACATCCTTGTAGATGGATGTAACAATGTCATGGCCATTCTGATTCACAGGAGATTTTTTTTTTGTTTGCCAAAACTATGATTTAAGATGTGAACTAAATGTCTTGCTGAAAAGGAAGTATAACCTAGCTGTCCACCTTGCCCCATTTCCCTTAGAAATATTAGGCTTGTTTCCTTGTTTTTATATTGTCATTTTCTCAAATGCATATTAATCAGAATGCAAGAAAAAAGAGAGTTCTTTTCAATAGACACATTAACATCCATTAACACTGAGCAACTTTTTAGATCTATTTTCAACTTTGTCTTAGATTAAGGAACATTAGAGCAATAATTAACAATTATGAAGAGCCTTGCATATTCCAATTATTTTGCCTACATTAACTCATTAAATCTGATTAGAAGGGTAAGAGGTAAGAAATACTACTCATTTTTACAGATGAGAAAACTGACGAGGATTTAAGCACCATGATGATAAGAAGTTTGTTCTGCTTTGTTTATTGCTGTATTCTCAGAATCTAGCATGATATCTGACACATAGAAAGCAAACAACAAATATTTGTGGGATGCCTGAATAAATGAATGAACATGAATAGGTTAATCATAATCATATTGCAGAGTATAGTTGCAACTCTGAGTTTATTGACTTCATTCTTTTTTCCATTATGCAATATTATATCCTAAGTGATTTTGAGGGGTTTTTAGGAAAAGCTGGAAACCCTAATCAGTGTGAAGAGCAGCGGGACACCAAAAGATTGAGTTAAATTACTGAGCTCCCCTTAGCTCATCAGGTATACATCAAAATAAAACATATGCATGCACATGCACATGCACAACCACACACACAGATAAAAACCATCTGATTTCACATAGGAGATGTCTGCAAGTTTTTATTTTCATATAATTACTTGGTATTTCTTAAGACTTGGATTATTTAGGAATGCTAACTGATTATTACTATTACAAAGAAACATTGTTGATTTCTGTACATCTGTGTGGTATTGGCCACAGGATTTAATGCTTCGTTAATTTTAATTATTTCATGATTAGGCATTGTAATAATTAGGAGGACATGTATTGGCACATTACAGAAAACCCAACTAATAGTGGCTTAAGCAAATATGTGTTTACTATCACCACATGACATGCCTAGAGGGTATGCGCCAATGTTACTTTTATCTGAGACTCAGGCGCATTCTTGAATTCCCTCTACCTTCCTCAGCATATTTGTCTTCATCCTCAATGTTATAATTTTTGCCAGAGGCCTATTGTAGGAGATTGGAACCCTCAAAATTCCATTAAATAATAGCGATGAGAGCTAGTGTTTCTGTCTTATTCTTCTTTGGATGGCAACGACTTTATATTTGAACATTTAATATATTTGACAAGGGTATGTGGAAAGAATCTTTACCAATTTCAGGGAGTTCAAATACATTTCATCTAATTTCTAGTCAAACATTTTTTCTGTATGCATTGACACAATCATATATTTAATTATGTCTCTCCTTTAACTGTATTCATAGTTTTTTCTAATACTGGGACAAACTTTCATTTCTGTAATAAAACCTTCTTGAACATGATGACCAATCCCTTAGTACACCCTGGGATCAATTTGCTAATGATTTGACTAAAATAATTATATTTGTGAATTTGAATTAGAGTTTCTTTTTGTGTCGGTTTTATAAAATTTGGGTTTTAGAA